ACGATTATGCAAAAGTACAGGATCTAATGATATCATAAGGTTCATAAATCTTGTGACCTATCCACGATCTTATCTCTGAAGTGGAGTTTGTGACCCATCAAATATGTACAGATTTTGATCTTCCAGTTTGAGTCAGTTTACGGGTTTTAAAACGTAAAAAAAAAATCGTCATACTAGATTATGATGATAGTATAGTTTTTGTTTCTTCTGTTATATGCGGTTAAAATGTGAATTATATTAATTCGTAAAAGTAATAGGATATAGGCGAATAAAAAAATATATAGGGGTTATAAAACATATATATATGTGTGTGTGTGTGTGTGTGTGTGTGTGTGTGTCATAGTGATAATTTTTTTTTATGTCACTGCCATATATCTTGTTTTCATGAAACATATATCGTCTTCAGCAGAAAAATTAGATCTGATATTTATATCTCTGATGTGCTTCAATGGAGTTTGTGGTCAGTTTTTACCTTCAAATTTATAACTTTCCAGTATGTAAAAATTACGGTTTTGATGAAATTAATGTAAATTATTGTTCTTATGCATCTCTCTCTCTTATGAATTTTAGTTTGAGAATTTTTTTATATAATGAAAATTCTTGAATGTATTAATTTTTTGATCTAACTATTTGTAGGTCTAACAAAGATGACAACAACAGTAGGCCTAAGAGAAAAAAGGTTTTCAGTTTTGACCTTCCAGCATTCGTCTTGGCAGCGATAATGTCACTTCTTTCGCTAGAAGATAGCATCCGTGCATCTGCCGTCTGCAAGGCATGGAATGAAGCCGCTAAATCTGTTGCGGTTGTTCAAAAGTACCTATGGGTTGTCTCCATTCCGTTATGTGGAAACTCTATTGATCTTTTTGATCTGTTGCAGAGGAAGATGTACACAATGAATCTACCCAAGACAGGTTTAACTGATTTTTGTTACTCAAAAGATGGCTGGTTGCTTATTCGCAAATCATGCTCTTTGGAATTCTTATTCTTCAACCCCTACTCTCGGAAGCTCATAAGCTTGCCAGAATATGATTTGAAGTTTCATGAAATCGCTTTCTCTTCTGCCCCTACATCAGAAACTTGTACTTTGGTCACGTTAAACCCTATTTCAGAATATATTGTGGCCATAGGCACTTTCTATCCTGGAGCAACTGAGTGGATAACTACGACGTTTCAATGCTATCTTGCTTTTGACCCTAATATCCTTAGCAACCTGGTATATACTAATAATTGCTTCTACTGCTTCACCTCGGGAGGTGTTTTATTTGAATTTGATCCAGCTTCTCGCACAGTGAAACAAAAAGCATGGAAGGATGTTATATTCCATGAAATTCGTAACAACGAATTCTCGTATCAGCCAAAGAAACTTTACTTGATGGAGCACAAAGGAGAGCTAATTCTCATGTATACATATGGCAGTGAGAAACCAGTGGTGTATAAGTTAGTCTCCTCAAAATGGGAAGAGATGAGTAGTACACTAGACGGCTTGACAATATTTGCAAGTATGTGGTGCTCGGAGACTGGAATGGATGTTTTAGGGATGAAGAACAGCGTGTACTTCCCAAAGTATGGCATACGTAACAACATGCAATGTGTATCCTACTCATATGATGATGCCAGGTCTTATCCGGGTCAGCCGAATCAACTATGCTCTGATGGTAGTTTTTGGATCGACCCACCACCATTTCTAAAGTAACTTGAGTGCGCTTTGAGTTTTTTATTTATATTTTATATATCTATGCATCAATTGTCGCATCTGACAAAACTTGTAGACTTGAATTTCAAACTTCGATATTGTGCGAAATTTATTATTATAATGTAAACTTTCAGATTATTTTGCATGTGATTCATTTGATATAATTTTTATGTTTTATTGAATGGAGATCCACTAATAATATTTTCATCATCTAAATTCAAAGAAAATGAACACACAAATCTGAGATGTTTGTATATCATAACCTTTCGAGTTTAGGGTAGCATTTTTCAGAACAATAGTTGTGAATTACTTACCACATAAGTTTAATTGGAGGTTAATTTCTCATTTTAGAACTAAAATCAGGATCATATTTATTTTTAGAAACTCGAATCAAAAATGCTTCCAAAAGACCTCTTAAATCAACTGAAAACTTTTGGTTCCAGTTTCAAAGCATTTGTCAATAATAAGTAGATATGAGCTATTAAAGTTTACCATATATCATAGAATTTGCCAAAACAATTATTTTAGTGATGATATATGATTCATTAGCTTATTTTATTTTTCTTAACAAACATAAAATTCTTAGAAAAAAATGTTAATAAGAAATTCTATAAATAATTGATGTTGAGCTTAGGGTATTTTGTTAATTTGAGGACATATTAATTTACAAATAAATTTCTTTTCAGATTCTTCTATTTTAGAATATTTTGATAAGATATAAATTGTTGGTTTCACAATTTATATACTTCCTGTATTTCAATTTATTTGTTAATGTAGAAATGTATTTTTTGTTTAAATGAGTGTTGTTTTATGATTTAAAGACAAAATTTATTTTCTTTGTGGGAACCGACATTCGCATTGTCTGTTTCCGTAAAATAAGGAAACTTAGGAAAACCTTAATTTTTCAGAGAACCCGGATCTCAGCGAGAGATAACGACAAGTAACCAAATAAATGCGGAAAATATGAATAAATTGATAAAACGAATTTATTTTCTTTATATTTTATCATTATTTTTATTGGTTGAAATGTGGTTAAGTTTATAGGTAGTGATGGTTTTATATAGAAAATATACAAAATTAATTTTTTTATTAATCTTGTGCACAAATCTAAAATGACAAATAAAATGAAACGGATGTAGTATTAATAAAAGTGTATATTTTAGCTTCATATTCTTCATTTTATATTCTTATTTTTTGTAGATGAGATATGTATTATATAATTTAAATGTGGTGAAGGATTGGTGTAGAACATTGTACTCCACGAGTTAAGTGATGAAGAAGAAGGTTCAGATGCAATATGATTCCGATGATCTTGATCATATGGAACAAGAACACACAGACTGGTTACAAACTCCAATTAGAGATACTCCGAATGCAACTGAGAAACATAAGGATCTTGTTGTCAAATGTTTGAGAGGAGCACATGATCTAATTCCATTGATAGAGCTATATTGGGCATCACTTGACCTTATTGCAACAACAAATAATCATACCATAATTTAATGTTTTAATTATTATTTATTTTTTTGTTTTTGGGTTTATGATTATCATTTTTAATTAACTTTTTATAATTATTTTTTTTTTCTATTAAATAACTTTTATTAATTAAATTTTGAATCGGTGGATACAGCAGCAAAGTATCTGCAAACGTAACTATTTTTAAACATTATACCATTCATATAAAACGCTTAATATCACTAGAAACTGCAACTATCCGCATCCGCAAATTCCCGCTCCGCAATCGCTGCATTTGAACTAGTTAGGCCCCAAGTATGTATATAATTTTATTATTTTAAGCAGTATTGAAATATCACGTAAGAGTTTTTAACATATCTTTTATAGTTTATTATTTTTTTTAATAAAAGATCATATCCAAGTTCTACTAACAAAAAAGTAGGTAATCCACGAGATAAAAGCTTAAAATTTGCAGAAACCGCTTAAATTTTTGCAAAAATGTTTGAAAATTTCAGTTGTGCCGTGTGTCGTGTCTTTGTAAAACATCACAACCCAAAAATGTTATAGTTCTCATGAAGAGGGCGATGGCGACTCCAGACTTATCTCAACCTTAACCTTAGTGTCTCCAAAGTGGTAACGGTCAAACTTATAGTTCTCTGCGTGGAAAGGCTCATCGAAGCCACTTGCTATAACATTGATTCCGTCCAACGAAGAGTTGTGGAGGGATGTTCTGCAAAATAATCCAAGTTGGAGCTGATACTAGTTCTTCCTCTTCAAGATTACAGTCCGTGGTCCAAAGGTACGGAAAATAAAGTTTTCTCCTCAAAACCCAATTAAGTTTTGTTAGTTTTACTGCTATAATATTTTCCCCCTACATATAGTTTTTACTTTTTCTAAAATATTTTTAACATTTGGACTTCAATCAAAATGACTGACGAGAGAAGAAACCTTAATATCTTGTGAGTTATCTCTCTCTTTCTTTTTCTATCTCTCACAAAATCAAAGGTTCCTTTGACGTTATTGGTAGATCAATAACTTCATAATAATCTCACATAATATTTGCATGATTTGAGGATTTAATTACATATTTTTTTTTCTTCGGTCAAGTTTAATTACTTTTTTATTTAAATTTTATATGTCTAGTTCACGATTATGCAAAAGTACAGGATCTAATGATATCATAAGATTCATAAATCTTGTGACCTATCCACGATCATATCTCTGAAGTGGAGTTTGTGACCCATCAAATATGTACAGATTTTGATCTTCCAGTTTGAGCCAGTTTATGGGTTTTAAAACGTAAAAAACAATCATCATACTAGATTATGATTATAGCATAGTTTTTGTTTCTTTTGTTAAATGTGGTTTAAATGTGAATTATATTAATTCATAAAAATAATAGGTTATAGGAAAATAAAAAATATAGGGGTTATAAAACATATATATATATATGTGTGTGTGTGTGTGTCATAGTGATGATTTTTTTTTTTTCACTGCCATATATCTTGTTTTCATGAAACGTATATCCCCTTCAGCAGAAAAATTAGATCTGATATTTTTATCTCTGATGTGCTTCAGTGGAGTTTGTGGTCAGTTTTTACCTTCAAATTTATAACTTTCCAGTATGTAAAAATTACGGTTTTGATGAAATTAATGTAAATTATTGTTCTTATGCATCTCTCTCTCTCTTATGACTTTTAGTTTGAGAATTTTTTTATATAATGAAAATTCTTGAATGTATTTATTTTTTGATCTAACTATTTGTAGGTCTAACAAAGATGACAACAACAGTAGGCCTTAGAGAAAAAAGGTTTTCAGTTTTGACATTCCAGCATGCGTCTTGGCAGCGATAATGTCACTTCTTTCGCTAGAAGATAGCATCCGTGCATCTGCCGTCTGCAAGGCATGGCATGAAGCCGCTAAATCTGTTGCGGTTGTTCAGAAGTACCTATGGGTTGTCTCCATTCCGTTATGTGGAAACTCTATTGATCTTTTTGATCCGTTGCAGAGGAAGAAGTACACAATGAATCTACCCAAGACAGTTTAACTGATTTTTGTTACTCAAAAGACGGCTGGTTGCTTATTCGCAAATCATGCTCTTTGGAATTCTTATTCTTCAACCCCTACTCTCGGAAGCTCATAAGCTTGCCAGAATATAATTTGAAGTTTCATGAAATCGCTTTCTCTTCTGCCCCTACATCGGAAACTTCTGTCACGTTAAACCCTATTTCAGAATATATTGTGGCCATAGACACTTTCTATCCTGGAGCAACTGAGTGGATAACTAAGACGTTTCAATGCTATCTTGCTTTTGACCCTAATATCCTTAGCAACCTGGTACATACTAATAATCACTTCTACTGCTTCACCTCGGGAGGTGTTTTATTTGAATTTGATCCAGCTTCTCGCACATTGAAACAAAAAGCATGGAAGGATTTTATAGTCTCTGAAATTCGTAACAACGAATTCTCGTATCAGCCAAAGAAACTTTACTTGATGGAGCACAAAGGAGTGCTAATTCTCATGTATACATATGGCAGTGAGAAACCAGTGGTGTATAAGTTAGTCTCCTCAAAATGGGAAGAGATGAGTAGTACACTAGACGGCTTGACAATATTTGCAAGTATGTGGTGCTCGGAGACTAGAATGGATATTTTAGGGATGAAGAACAGTGTGTACATCCTAAAGTACGGCGTACGTAACTACATGTAATGTGTATCCAACTCATATGATGATGCCAGGTACTATCCGGGTCAGCCGAATCAACTATGCTCTGATGGTAGTCTTTGGATCGACCCACCACCATTTCTAAAGTAACTTGAGTGCGCTTTGAGTTTTTTACTTATATATTATATATCTATGCATCAATTGTTGCATCTGACAAAACTTGTAGACTTGAATTTCAGACTTTGATATTGTGCGAAATTTATTATTATAATTTAAACTTTCAGATTATTTTGCATGTGATTCATTTGATATAACTTTTATGTTTTGTTGAATGGAGATCCACTAATAATATTTTCATCATCTAAATTCAAAGAAAATGAACACACAAATCTGAGATGTTTGTATATCATAACCTTTCGAGTTTAGGGTAGCATTTTTCAGAACAATAGTTGTGAATTACTTACCACATAAGTTTAATTGGAGGTCAATTTCTCATTTTAGAACTAAAATCAGGATCATATTTATTTTTAGAAACTCGAATAAAAAATGCTTCCAAAACACCTCTTAAATCAATTGAAAACTTTTGGTTCCAGTTTCAAAGCATTTGTCAATAATAAGTAGATATGAGCTATTAAAGTTTACCATATATCAAAGAATTTGCCAAAATATTATTTTAGTGATGATATATGATTCATTAGCTTATTTTAAATTTCTTAACAAACATAAAATTCTTACAAAAAATTGTTAATTAGAAATTCTATAAATAATTAATGTTGAGCTTATGGTATTTTGTTAATTTGAGGACATATTAATTTACAAATAAATTTCTTTTCAGATTCTTCCATTTTAGAATATTTTGATAAGATATAAATTGTTGGTTTCACAATTTATATACTTCCTGCGTTTCAATTTATTTGTCAATGTAAAAATGTATTTTTTTTTTAAATGAGTGTTCTTTTATGATTTAAAGACAAAATTTATTTTCTTTTTTGGAACCGAAATCCGCACTGTCGATTTCCGTAAAATAAGGGAACTTAGGAAAACCCTAATTTTCCAGAGGACCCGGATCCCTGCGAGAGCCAACGACAAGTAACCAAATAAATGCGGAAAATATAAAAAAAATGAAAAAATGAATTTATTTTCTTTATATTTTTTCATTATTTTTATTGGTTGAAATGTAGTTAAATTTATAGGTAGTGATGTTTTTATATAGAAAATATGCAAAATTAATTGTTTTATTAATCTTGTGCACAAATCTAAAATGACAAATTAAATGAAACGGATGTAGTACTAATAAAAGTGTATATTTTAGCTTCATATTCTTTATTTTATATTATTATTTGGTGTAGATGAGATATGTATTAACAATAAATAATCATACCATAATTTAATGTTTTAATTATTATTTATTTTTTGTTTTTGGGTTTTATGATTATCATTTTTAATTAACCTTTTATAATTATTTTTGGTCTATTAAATAACTTTTATTAATTAAATTTTTAATCGGTGGATACACCAGCAAAGTATTACCTGCAAACGTAACTATTTTTAAACATTATACCATTCATATAAAACGCTTAATATCACTAGAAATTGCAACTATCCGTATTCGCAAAATTTCCGCTCCGCAACCTCAATCGCTGTGTTTGAACTAGTTAGGCCCCAAGTATGTATATAATTTTATTATTTTAAGCAGTATTGAAATATCACGTAAGAGTTTTGTAACATATCTTTTATAGTTTATTATTGTTTTTAAAGAAAGAGAATATCCAAGTTCTACTAACAAAAAAGTAGGTAAGCCACGAGATAAAAGCTTAAAATTTACAGAAACAGCTTAAATTTTTGCCAAAATGTTTGAAAATTTCAATTGCGACGTGTGTCGTGTCTTTGTAAAACATCACAACCCAAAAATGTTATTTCAATTTATGAAGATCCTTATAACCTACCATCCACATGAATACCTTAAAACTCTATTAACTTTCTCATATGGAGCTGCTTTTCTCTGTGTATTATCTGATTAAACTTCCCTTCCTGGCGGTTTGATTGCAATTGCTTTGTTCCACAAGCAGGGGTTTCAAGGTCATTCTTCGTGTCATCACTCGTTTATATTTTAATGCATATAAAAAGACTGAAAATTTCTTTATCGTTGACTTTTAACCAGTGGACTTGTTTACGATTGCAATTCAAAAAAAAATTTATGATCTTTTTGTAAATAAAAAACTAGATCTTTTTGGGTTTCATTTTCAAAATTAACCAGTGAATTTGTTTATGATTGAATTCAAAAAATTGATTATTGTGTTACACCACTTTTATAACAAAAGTGTTAGATATGTTGGGGAGGAAGGGGGTGGGATGGGTGGGGGGAGGCTAATATAATATTAAATTGTTATCCGTAGTCCTTGTTAGACCAAATATTATAGAAGGAGGTTTTGTATGTTAGATTTAATGGAAAATTTTTAAATTGAGATTGATTTAATGAGAATCTCTAATCTTTTAAGATATATTGTTACCGTATAGGATTTTCATTATTTTAGGGTTTTAAGATACTAATGATTGTTCCAGTTCTTTATTCTTGAAAGCTTGATACTTGTTGTCTTCTTTTTGCATTTATGCCTTGTGATCAAATATGTCTTTAATATAATGTTTAACTTGTTTATGTCCCTTGGTTTTGTAGAAAATTTGTTCACTATTAGTAGGTGGAATCTAGTATGAGAAAATAAAACATTACCAATCTTTCTCAATGATGATTTTCTCCCAGTCAAATACAAGGTCACATCAAACATCTCCTCTCTAATGTCATCATATCCTTTGTCCAACCTCAAAGATTCAACTGCTAAATCCAAATGGTTGGAGTAGTGAAAGTCGAAAACTTCCGGGATCAAATTAGAAGCTAATGAATAGCCATAACACAAGCTAATTCTCGAGATAATAAACCGAGCTTTCAGAACATTCAATTGACAATTAAGATACTTTAACCGGAAGTAAACATCTATAATCCAAAATTAATGCATGTCAAAGTCGAAGTTCCAATACTCACAATACCCTAATTTTCCAAGACACGAGTGTTCTCAAACAAGGTACGGTATGCATTCCTATAAATAAGTATGTATTCTTGTAGGAAAAAAGAAATCGATTTTTTGAGGCTGATATAAATATGGATCTAAGGAATTGTGAAGTTATTTATTCACATAACAATATAAAAATCCTAAAGGGGTATTTGCCTCAATTCGTTTTTCTCTCTTTTCTTTTCTTCGAGTTAATTCACATTTTTTCACAACAGAAGCATTCTGCTAGACGAGTCTTTCATGTGTCTGATTGACTGCTAGTTCAGAGGTGTTGAATCTTGTTGGTTCCACTCTGAGTGAGGTTTCTTAGTGGGAGTAGCTTCTAAGGTTTTATGAGGAAGCATGGAGACACTATTCGAGTAGGAGATAGTGGAGGGCGAGCACCCGAGATGCTTCTAAGGTTGGTTCCACTCTTGTTGGTTCCACTCTGAGTGAGGTTTCTTAGTGGGAGTAGCTTCTAAGGTTTTATGAGGAAGCATGGAGACACCATTCGAGTAGGAGATAGTGGAGGGCGAGCACCCGAGATGCTTCAGGGGTGCACGGAGGGGGTGGAACATCTTCAAGCTGAGGCCCTTGTTGTTAAGAAGAGGAAGCTTCAGCATTCATGTCCTCAGTTACTAAGACTTCTTTAGCTTTGCTTCTTGAGTGTAGAAAAATTCCTGCCATGTTCCCTTCTCTGTGAAAGGCTTTCTTTTGCAAAGGTTTATGGCAGCAGTTGAGCAAGTGGCCAAATTTCCCACAGTTGCTACAGTGATAAGGGTTGCGTGGATACTTGGCGTTGAAACGAATGGAGAATCCCTGAGAATCACACACAATCATTGAAGAGGGAGATGGCGACTCCAGACTTATCTCAACCTTAACCTTAGTGTCTCCAAAGTGGTAAGGGTCAAGCTTAGAGTTCTCTGCGTGGAAAGGCTCATCGAAACCACTTGCTATAACATTGATTCCGTCCAACGAAGAATTGTGGAGGGATGTTCTGCAAAATAACCCAATCTGGAGCCGATACTAGTTCTTCCTCTTCAAGATTACAGTCCAGGGTCCAAGGCTACGGAAAATAAAGTTTTCTCCTCAAAACCCAATTAAGTTTTTTTCGTTTTACTAAATAATAAAAAATTATAAACTTTCAACATTTTTATAGACATTTACATTCTCAAAAAATATATTTTTATAAAATGACTTTTTTTTTTATTTTACCTTTTTAAAATAAAGTTGTACTCGTGGCATCTTCGTCAACAAAATTATTTTACTTAGCATCCATGTTAGCAAAATTAGTTGATGCAGCAGGTGATGTGACGACTGGTGTATAAGTTTTCCAAAAAGGTAAACAATGGGTATGTTATTCGAATTTTCAAAAAGTACATGTATATTTTTTTCATGGTCATATAAGTCAGTTATGAATTAAACACATCGATATGTTGGGTATGAAATGACTGTTTTCATCAAAAGCAGTAATATATTTAACTGCTCTAATTTGCAAGGTAGAAACTATGAGCGAAAAAATCACTTCACAAAGAGTAATATAGATAATTATTAAGAGATATTTTCCTTTTTAAGTGATTATTAGTTATGTTCTTAGGATAAACTATACAATGGCAAATTTATTCATTAAAATTCTGTAATGTATTTAATTGCTTTAATTTTTATCGTGATAGCTCATAAAGAGAAAATCAGTTCACAAAAAAACACTATACATAAATCTTCTTTAATTGCTTTAATTTTTATCGTGATAGCTCATAAAGAGAAAATCAGTTCACAAAAAACACTATACATATATGAAAGATCTGCTGTAAAAGGAATCTAAGAACGAATGATAAAGGTTTTGAGAAACCTGAAAAGGTGTTGAATAACCTTGTTCTAGCATAAGGAAAAAAAATAAAAATAAAAATCAGTATAAAAGTAAGATATAGCACTTCATTGCAGTTGATGAATTTAAAACATCAAGAGAAGAGAGTTAAACAATAAAAAAACCCTTACGCATCATTCATAGATATATTAAGAGTATTTGGGTTCTTCTTAATCTCATGCATCGTCTTCATCTAGGATTCAGTGGAGGTCTGCTTGGTCTTGACTCCTCGGCTAATACTGATATGAGCATTGTGTTGTTCTGATTAGTCTCTATACCTCTCTTAGTAGAATGACCATTAACTAGATACCTGATTCAAATCACAGTTGTTCACCTTGCACTGTTCTACATGTGCTGCCGTCTTCTATGGATAGCAAAGGACTCGAAACAGATGAATCAAAATGTATCCTAAGCTTAATGCATTCTTTAAAAAGTATCCTGAACTTCCAACATAAATTCAATTTGTAGTATGTTGACTGACTCAAATCCTTATATGTTACATAATTCCCTTTCATATTTCCAATATAAGATTTTTATCTCCAACAGACTCCCTCGAAATAATGTTACTTATAACATTAATCTCGACATAATCCATCATACCTGCTCCAAGACATTGCTTTCTCTAAAATTGTTGGCAGATCTGAGGTTTTTATGGTCCATGAATTAATGTGGCTGAGCAGGTCACTGTCCGGGCCGGATTAATGGGTCAAAGCGTAAGCCCGCTCTAATACCATGTTAAATTTTTTGGGCTTCCAACTTAAAAAAATTGGTAGTAAGTGGAGTGACCAAAATCACTTTTATATTATAAGTCTCTTTCATATTTCCAATGTGAGATATTCTCTCCAACACCTTCCCTTGAGATAATAGTAAATATAATCATTAATCTCGACATAATCCATCATACACATGTTTCCAAATATTTTTGACTTTTTAAATTCAAAATATGGTTCAAACACAAAACTTATCGGTTTTTATGCATGCTTTGAATTTGGAAACATATGGTCTCATTGACATATTCTTCTACCTGTTTCAGACATATTTCTTTCCTTAAAATAAAGATATTTATTTGTAACTTCAAAGTAAATACCATATTCTTTGTTTGACTAGTATACTCTTTCAAATATTTAATTACTGCTATAATATTTTCCCCCTATATATAGTTTTTACTTGTTCTAAAATATTTTTAACACTTGGACTTCAATCAAAATGACTGATGAGAGAAGAAACCTTATTATCTTGTGAGTTATCTCTCTCTTTCTTTCTCTATCTCTCACAAAATCAAAGGTTTTTTTGACGTTATTGGTAGATCAATATCTTCATAATAATCTCACATAATATTTGCATGATTTGAGGATTTAATTATATTTTTTTTTCTTCGGTCAAGTTTAATTTTTTTGTATTTAAATTTTATATGTCTAGTTCACGATTATGAAAAATTACATGATCTAATGATATCATAAAATTCAGAAATCTTGTGACCTATCCACGATCTTATCTCTGAGGTGGAGTTTGTGACCCATGAATTATGTATATATTTTGATCTTCCAGTTTGAGTCAGTTTACGGGTTTTAAAACGCAAAAACAAATCGTCATACTAGATAATGATGATGCTATAGTTTTTGTTTCTTCTGTTCAATGCGGTTTAAATGTGAATTATATTAATTCGTAAAAATAACAGGATATAGGCGAATAAAAAAAATATATAGGGGTTATAAAACATATATATATATATATATATATATATATATATATATATATATATATATGTGTGTATGTGTGTGTCTGTGTGTGTGTGTGTGTGTGTCATAGTGATGATTTTTTTTATGTCACTGCCATATATCTTGTTTTCATGAAACGTATATCGCCTTCAGCAGAAAAATTAGATCTTATATTTTTATCTCTGATGTGCTTCAATGGAGTTTGTGGTCAGTTTTTACCTTCAAATTTATAACTTTCCAGTATGTAAAAATTACGGTTTTGATGAAATTAATGTAAATTATTGTTCTTATGCATCTCTCTCTCTTATGAATTTTAGTTTGAGAATTTTTTTATATAATGAAAATTCTTGAATGTATTTATTTTTTGATCTAACTATTTGTAGGTCTAACAAAGATGACAACAACAGTAGGCCTAAGAGGAAAAAGGTTTCCATTTCTGACCTTCCAGCATGCGTCTTGGCAGTGATAATGTCACTTCTTTCGCTAGAAGATAGTATTCGTGCATCCGCCGTCTGCAAGGCATGGCATGAAGCCGCTAAATCTGTTGCGGTTGTTCAAAAGTACCTATGGGTTGTCTCCATTCCGTTATGTGGAAACTCTATTGATCTTTTTGATCCGTTGCAGAGGAAGAAGTACACAATGAATCTACCCAAGACAGGTTTAACTGATTTTTGTTACTCAAAAGATGGCTGGTTGCTTATTCGCAAATCATGCTCTTTGGAATTCTTATTCTTCAACCCCTACTCTCGGAAGCTCATAAGCTTGCCAGAATATGATTTGAAGTTTCATGAAATCGCTTTCTCTTCTGCCCCTACATCAGAAACTTGTACTTTGGTCACGTTAAACCCTATTTCAGAATATATTGTGGCCATAGGCACTTTCTATCATGGAGCAACTGAGTGGATAACTACGACGTTTCAATGTTGTCTTGCTTTTGACCCCAATATCCTTAGCAACCTGGTATATACTAATAATCGCTTCTACTGCTTCACCTCGGGAGGTGTTTTATTTGAATTTGATCCAGCTTCTCGCACATTGAAACAAAAAGCATGGAAGGATGTTATATTCCCTGAAATTCGTAACAACGAATTCTCGTATCGCCCAAAGAAACTTTACTTGATGGAGCACAAAGGAGAGCTAATTCTCATGTATACATATGGCAGTGAGAAACCAGTGGTGTATAAGTTAGTCTCCTCAAAATGGGAAGAGATGAGTAGTACACTAGACGGCTTGACAATATTTGCAAGTATGTGGTGCTCGGAGACTAGAATAGATGTTTTAGGGATGAAGGATAGCGTGTACTTCCCAAAGTATGGCGTACATAACAACATGCAATGTGTATCCTACTCATATGATGATGCCAGGTACTATCCGGGTCAGCCGAATCAACTATACTCTGATGGTAATCTTTGGATCGACCCACCACCATTTCTAAAGTAACTTGAGTGCGTTTTGAGTTTTTTATTTATAGTTTATATATCTATGCATCAGTTGTCGCATCTGAAAAAACTTGTAGACTTGAATTTCAAAATTTGATATTGTGCGAAATTTATTATTATAATTTAAACTTTCAGATTATTTTGAATGTGATTCATTTGATATAACTTTTCTGTTTTGTTGAATGGAGATCCACTAATAATATTTTCATCATCTAAATTCAAAGAAAAAGAACACACAAATCTGAGATGGTTGTCTATCATAACCTTTCGAGTTTAGGGTAGCATTTTTCAGAACAATAGTTGTGAATTAGTTACCACATAAGTTTAATTGGAGGTTAATTTCTCATTTTAGAACTAAAATAAGGATCATATTTATTTTTAGAAACTCGAATCAAAAATGCTTCCAAAAGACCTCTTAAATCAATTGAAAACTTTTGGTTCCAGTTTCAAAGCATTTGTCAATAATAAGTAGATATGAGCTATTAAAGTTTACCATATATCAAAGAATTTGCAAAAACAATTATTTTAGTGATAATATATGATTCATTAGCTTATTTAAATTTTGTTAACAAACATAAAATTCTTACAAAAAAATGATAATTAGAAATTCTATAAATAATTAATGTTGAGATTATGGTATTTTGTTAATTTGAGGACATATTAATTTACAAATAAATTTCTTTTCAGATTCTTCTATTTTAGAATATTTTGATAAGATATAAATTTTTTGGTTTCACAATTTATATACTTCCTGCATTTAAATTTATTTGTCAATGTAGAAATGTCTTTTGTTTTTTAATAAGTGTTGTTTTATGATTTAAAGACAAAATTGGTTTTCTTTGTGGGAACCGAATTTCGCACTTGTCGATTTCCGTAAAATAAGGAAACTTAGGAAAACCCTAATTTTCCAGAGGACCCGGATCTCTGTGAGAGCCAACGACAATTAACTAAATAAATGCAGAAAATATGAAAAATTGAAAAAAATGAATTTATTTTCTTTATATTTTATCATTATTTTTATTGGTTGAAATGTGGTTAAGTTTATAGGTAGTGATATTTTTTATATAGAAAATATGCAAAACTAAATGATGAGATATGTATGATATAATTTAAATGTGGTTAAGAATTGGTGTCCGACATTGTACTCCACGAGTTAAGTGATGAAGAAGAAGGTTTAGATGAAAAATGATTCCCATGATCTTGATCATATGGAACAAGAAGACACAGACTGGTTACAAACTCCAATTAGAGATACTCCGAATGCAACTGAGAGACATATGGATCTTGTTGTTAAATGTTTGAGAGGAGCACATGATCTAATTCCATTGATAGAGCTATATTGGGCATCACTTGACCTTATTGCAACAACAAATAATCATACCATAATTTAATGTTTTAATTATTATTATTTTTTATTTTTTTTGGGTTTTATGATTATCATTTCTAATTAACTTTTTATAATTATTTTTTTTGTCTATTAAATAACTTTTATTACCTGCAAACGTAACTATTTTAAACATTATACCATTCATATAAAACGCTTAATATCACTAGAAACTGCAATTATCCGCATCCGCAAATTCCCGCACCGCAACCGCAATCGCTGCGTTTGAACTAGTTAGGCCCCAAGTATGTATACAATTTTATTATTTTATGCAGTATTGAAATATCATGTAAGAGTTTTAACATATCTTTTATAGTTTATTATTTTTTTTAATGAAAGAGCATATCCAAGTTCTACTAACAAAAAAATAGGTAAGCCACAAGATAAAAGCTTAAAATTTACAGAAACCGCTTAAACTTTTGCCAAAATGTTTGAAAATTTCAATTGCGACGTGTGTCGTGTCTTTGTAAAACATCATAACCCTAAAATTTTATTTCAGTTTATGAAGACCCTTATAACCTACCATCCACATGAAAACCTTAAAACTCTACTAACTTCCTCATATGGAGCCGCTTTTCTCTGTGTATTATCCGATTAAACTTCCCCTCTCGTCAGTTTTATTGCAGTTGCTTTGTTCCACAACAAAGGGTTTCAAGGTCATTCTTCGTGTCATCACTCGTTTATATTTTTATGCAAATAGAAAGACTGAAAATTTATTTATCGTTTACTATTAACCAGTGGACTTGTTTACGATTGCAATTCAAAACAAATTTATGATCTTTTTGTAAATAGAAATCTAGATTTTTTTTGGGTTTTATTTTCAAAATTAACCAGTGAATTTTTTTATGATTGAATTCACAAAAATTGATTATTGTGTTACACCAGTTTTATAACAAAAGTGTTAGATATGTTGGGGAGGGAGGGGGTGCGATGGGGTGGGGGGGGAGGCTTATATAATATTAAATTGTTAACCTTAGTCCTTGTTAGACCAAATATTATAGAAGGAGGTTTTGTATGTTAAATTTAATGGAAAATGTTAAATTGAGATTGATTTAATGAGAATCTCTAATCTTTTAAGATATTTTGTTACCGTATAGGATTTTCATTATTTTAGGGTTTTAAGATACTAATGATTGTTCCAGTTCTTTATTCTTGAAAGCTTGATACTTGTTGTCTTGTTTTTGCATTTATGCCTTGTGATCAAATATGTCTTTAATATAATGTGTAACTTGTTTATGTCTCTTGGTTTTGTAGAAAATTTGTTCACTTTTAGTAGGTGGACTCTAGTATGAGAAATTAAAACATTACCAATCTTTCTCAAAGATGATTTTCCCCCAGTCAAATACAAGGTCACATCAAACATCTCCTTTCTAATGTCATCATATCCTTTGTCCAACCTGAAAGATTCAACTGCTAAATTTAAATGTTTGGAGTAGTGAAAGTCTAAAACTTCTGGAATCAAATTAGAAGCTAATGAATCGTATTTAGCCTAGCCATAACACAAGCTAATTCTAGAGATAATAAACCGAGCTTCCAAAAAACAACATTCAAATGACAAGTAAGATACTTTAACCGGAAGTAAACATCTATTATCCAAAATTAATGCATGTCAAAGTCGAAGTTCCAATACTCACAATAACCTAACTTTCATCACATCCATCTCATTCTACAATACTCAGCGAATCAGAACAAAAATAAACCTCTCAAGTTTTCAATGTTCTCATTCACCTTAGCAATCAAACTCTTTACTTTTTTTTTTACTCAAAGACCTCACAAGTTTTGACCTTAGCAATCAAACAAAGTACTCACCTTTTTGCTACACGTAGCCGCAGCCATGTATGTTCTCAAACAAGGTACGGTATGCATTCCTATAGATAAGTATGGATTCTTGTAGGGAAAAAGAAATCAATTTTTGGAGGCTGATATAAATATGGATCTAAGGAATTGCAAAGTTATTTATCCACATAATAATATAAAAATCCTAAACGGGTATTTTCCTCAATTCGTTTTGCTCTCTTTTTTTTCTTCGAGTTAATTCGCATTTTTTTCAGAACAGAAGCATTCTGCTAGACGAGTCTTTCCTGTGTCCGATTGACCGCAAGTTCAGAGGTGCTGAATCTTGTTGGTTCCACTCAGAGTGAGGATTTTTAGTGGGAGTAGTTTCTAAGGTTTTATGAGGAAGCATGGAGACACCATTCGAGTAGGAGATAGTGGAGGGCGAGCACCCGAGATGCTTCAGGGGTGCACAGATGGGGTGGAACATCTTCAAGCTGAGGCCCTTGTTGTTGAGAAGAGGAAGCTTAAGCATTCAAGTCCTCAGTTACTAAGACTTCTTTAGCTTTGCGTCTTGAGTGTAGAAAACTTCCTGCCATGTTCCCTTCTCTTTGAAAGGGTTTCTTTTGCAAAGGTTTAGGGTAGCAGTTGATCAAGTGGCCAAATTTCCCACAGTTGCTACACTGAGGAGGGTTGCGTGGATACTTGGCGTTAATACGAAAGGAGAATCCCTGATAATCACGCACAATCATTGAAGAGGGTGATAGCGAGTCAAGACTTATCTCAACCTTAAGTTTAGTGTCTCCAAAGTGGTAAGGGTCAATCTTAGAGTTCTCTGCTTGGGGAGGCTCATCGAAGCCACTTGCTATAACATTGATTCCGTCCAACGAAGAGTTGTGGAGGGATGTTCTGCAAAATAACCCAAGTTGGAGCCGAGACTAGTTCTTCCTCTTCAAGATTACAGTCCGGGGTCCAAGGGTACAGAAAATAAAGTTTTCTCCTCAAAACCCAATTAAGTTTTGTTAGTTTTACTAAATAATAAAAAATTATAAACTTTCAACATTTTTGTAGACATTTACATTCTCTAAAAATATATTTTTATAAAATGCCTTTTTTTATTTTACCCTTTTAATAAAAGTTGTACTCGTGGCATCTTCGTCAACAAAATTATTTTACTTAGCATCCATGTCAGCAAAATTATTTGATGTAGCAGGTGATGTGGCGACTGTTGTATAAGTTCTCTAAAAAGGTAAACAATGGGTATGTTATTCGAATTTTCAAAAAGTACATGAATATTTTTTTTCATGGTCATATAAGTCGGCTATGAATTAAACACATCGAGATATGTTGGGTATGAAATGACTGTTTTCCTATGAACTATATAATGACAAAATTTATTCATCAAAAGCAGTAATATATTTAACCGCTCTAATTTTCAAGGTAGAAACTATGAGCGAAAAAATCACTTAACAAATAGTAATATAGATAATTATTAAGAGATATTTTCCTTTTTAAGTGATTATTAATTATGTTCTTAGGATAAAATATACAATGGCAAATTTATTCATTAAAATTCTGTAATGTATTTAATTGCTTTAATTTTTATTGTGATAGCTCATAAAGAGAAAATCAGTTCACAAAAAACACTATATATAAATCTTCTTTGATTCCTTTTCTTCATCAAAATAAATACTGTGTTAGGCTAGGGTATTATATAAATCAGGTTTGGGGAATATAGAGATTTCATCCGGGTCAGATATTATTTAAGTTGGTGTTAGGGTAGTAAGGATCTCAGCTTTGAGAAGTAGGGATTCATTCGAATGAGATATGATTTAACTCAGGTT